TGTTAAGTTTTTCCATTTTTAATTTGCATGTTTTGTTACTGAATGTGTTTGAAATGTTTATTATTTTTAAAAAAATGTAAGATAAATTCAAAGTATTTCTGTTTTTTAAAATAATAAATTGATTTAAATTTTATATAATGCTTTCTCTCTCTCTCTCTGCTCATTGCATCTTTATAACTATAGAGAAATTGCACATGTTGAGGCTTTCACTTTCCTGTTTAACTATCTAATTCAGATTCTGTCTTTACCTGTTCATTGTTTGAACTGGATATTGTTAAACTACTATTGAACATGAAAATGCTGCCTCAGACACATTATGCGCCTTTGTGCAAAAGTATATTTTGCACATCAAAAATCTAATTTTTAAACAAAAAAGATTAACCTTTTAAAATAAAATAAGGATAGCAACTATGTGAGAAATGAAACAGTGATGAGTTTTATCGTTTAATTTCCATATTTTGCTTTTCCTACCTTTTAAATGTAGCTCAATTTTTAATTATATTACTCACATTAATTATTTCCAAACACCATGTTCTGTTGCAGTGTTTCTCAACCTTTAACGAATTGTCGCCCCCTTCAATAAAACTGTTATGTAATATCGTCCCTTCACTACAAAATTCCGATGTCGAGGGCCAAGGCTAATGCCAAATTCGTACTGCATTGAATAGACTAGTGACTAGTTTAATGTTATTTGTTTAATTATTGTATGATATAACGAATAAAATATCTAATTATTCTTAATATAATGTTTTACTATATTGCCCAGAAAATTGTTTTTCGCCCCCAAAATATAAATTGTTACTAATCACCCCTCAACATGGAAAAACGCCCACATGGGGGCGATATTGCCCCTGTTGAGAAACACTGTTCTATTGTTATCAGTTATACCAAATGATCTGCTGGATCAACAATATCTATATGGTGATTGAATGATTCAGCAATTATTTAAAAATTAAAGATAAAAATATAATATACAGTATCACTATAAAAATAGAGAAAAGATATTCCTGTGATCAATTTATCATCCATACATTTCATGTATGGACAAAAGGGTTGCAACTGAAAGGGATGTTTCATCAAGATACCACAGACATCCAATGGGCTATGACAAATGAGCTAACAAACATCACACTTGAAACTTTCTCTGCTTGCTTCCAAAATCTCCAGAAATGTTTGCAATTGTGTATAGATATCTGAGGGGAGTACTTTGACAGGAATGAGGATCATTACTTGGTAATTGCAATTTTCTATTTTTTACAAGCTTTGTCCTGGAACTTTTCTGACAAAGGTTGTATGTTATATCATGTTTCATTATTTATATTCATATTATAGAAAATGTTTAAGTTCATTACCATATGTTAAGGTACAGAAATACTAATGCATTATAAATGTAATTTAAGTAGATAGTTAAATACATCTGGATAAAAACATTTACCATCCATGATCAATAAAATCCTATTAATAAATTTATGAATAAAATTAATATAAATGTATTTTTATAACTTACAATGTATTTTCTCTAATAATTTTAAAATGAAATGCCAGTTAATTAATATCATATTAAATATTTATTAATAAATATGTATCTTTACATATATCTTTATATCTTTAGTGGTATATATGTATACACATACACACACACAC